GCTATCACGTGGTGCAAGTGTTACAGTACACTGTATGTATGTATGTAGAAAAGAACTTTTATGTTCCAGTTGTTGCTCGCACTTTTTGCTCGTAGTCGAGCGCGTCTACCTGTTAACGCTTAGTAATTTTCGTTCAAAACTTTGTTCTTTTGTTTCATTATTGCTTTTTAAATTTAATTAGGTTACACTTGGTTGACTGGCGTAATGAATGACGGTAAAGTTTCTTACTTTTGACGGGGCAATCTAATACATACACTTTGCATACTTAGTATGCATGTCTTCATTATTATCATTCTTCAATTCTTATTCAAAAAAGGCTTAACTCATTAAATACTACTGTTTAATAAGACTGAGAGAAGTGCATCAACCTTTCGTCAAAAAATTACTGCCGTTATTTTCTGTTTCTTTGGTCATTACTGGTTAGCTTTACGCGTATACATTTATAATGGGTGATCCAATTAGGGGTAATTTTTCAAGTAACTCCACTTTCCCAAGCAACATGGCATCGCTCAATGGGCTCTTGAAAAGATTTAAAAACACCCGACGTTTTCGAGGCAAATTTCATTCAGTGATGAGGCCCGTTTATAGTTCGATAGGTATATACGAGTAAAAGAGCAAAATTACCGCATTTGGAACGAAGAGCACCCTGACGAGAATCAAGAGCTGCCATTTTATCCAGTAAAAAAAAAMGGTTTAGTGTGATTTGTGGGCCCGTGGAATCTTCAGTCCATATTTCTTCAAATATGTTGCTGGTGAGGACGTAACCGTCAATGGCTATCGTTATTGCGCCATGATAACCTATTGTTTGATGCGTGACATTGAAGCTCTTGATCTCGGCGATATTTGGTTTCAACAAGATCGCGCCTTTTAACACACATCGCATCCATTAATGATTTTAATGGGAGAAAACTTCGGYGAGCAGATAATTTCACGTTTTATGCTTGACGTTAGACTTTTTTCTGTGGGTATAYGTAGAGTCTAAAGCCTATGAAGACCATTCCGCTTCAATTGAGATCTCAGAGCAAAACATCACCCGTGTCATTCGCCAATTAACAGTCGAAATGCTCAAACGAGCCATCGAATAGTGGACTCAACATCCATGCACCATCTGAGACGTAGCCGCGGCATTTGAAAGATATAATCTTCAAAAAACAAATGCCAAAGAATGTTYYTTTGAATGATAATAAACATTTCACATTAAACTTAAAGTTTATGTGTTGAGGCCAGACTAAAAGGCAGAGACAATAGCGATTGTCTGACTTGTTTTAAAATTCGAAATAATACCAATGAGAACAGAACCCCAAGAAGTAGAAGAACATTAAGTATCCTATCCAATTTCATTACCGTTTTCGACCACATCAATAAATTAGTGACGCCATCAAGGTGCCGGTAATTCCCTCTAATCAGGGACCATATAGAGGATTAACACACATACTCGTCGAAACAATTGTTACAACTTTATTTGTCTACCTTTTCGCAAGCAAGTGGCGATTGCGTTAAATTGAAGACCTAATTTGTTTTTATTTTGGGAATTTTGGTGTCACACAAGAATTTGTTGTTTCAACTAGAGCAAATATTTMAGCCCAATTGATATGATTGTTGATTGGTTTGCTTTATTAATATGGATGTATACGCGTGATGGCGTTTGTGGTGCAATATCAGTGCAAGTGTCTGGCTCATTAGCATTTTCCATTGAATGCCGTGACCGCCATCAGTCAATGTCGCTGAAGCGCAGAAGAAATAATATTATCACAGAGCTGGCAAATATTTGTCGATATCTGTTTGCTGTGCTCGCGCGTCATGCAAGTTTGTTGTTGTTGTTCAGGTACAGTAATTGGCGATAAATAATTACACAACATTGTACAATTGATGCTCAAGTAGACACAGAGAGCCTTGGGGCTGATTATTGCAAATTTCTACTCACAATTTTTCTAAGCGCGCACACAAATACACATACAAACATACATACAGATGCCATATGCACAGTGCGGATGTGTTAGATGATAAGAATCGTGGCTGTGCAAAAATTCGCACTCGCACAAATATGTACATACTTATGTAAATACAGTTTTCGTGTGTWTGTATATAAATATGAACCTATGTGCAAAGTAAGTGCATTTTAGTTATAAATAGAGGTACATACCTAAGTACAAGCACATTAGCGACGTCAATTAGTCACAATTCACAGTAATTCCATTTTATTTTGCAATTTGCTGCTAAAAGCAGTTAACTGTATGTTTAGTTTTGCTATTCGGTTTAGAACAGCAAGCTTCTATTTTTATAAATGCACATGCATATAGCACATATGTATGTATATATATGCTCATATTACGTTATATAAAAATTATTACCTTCTGACTCAGTTGCCAAGTTGTCGTAAACACGCTGCTGATAAGTTTCCAGCTTTTACAGTTTTGATGGAAATGGGGTTGACTCCACTCACAGGTGCTTTTGTTTATATTCATAACTACCGTTATTTCAGAGTAGCCGCTATATTTGTATTTAGTTGTTTTGTACTTTAGTTGAAGCTTTTTTCGTGTAAGTATTGTCTACTAGCTTTTCATTTTGTACTACGAAGCACTACCCAGAAGAAATCGCCTATAACCAATCTCTATTAAATATTAATTCCGTTAACATCCCAAATAATATGTCTAAGCTTTGTGGAGCAATATTTTTTTTACCAGTTTCTATATAGAAAAACATTACCCTTTCTAATCCACAATCTATTAACGATTCTTTGATGTGAGTTTTACACAAGAAATACTTGAGGCCATTTTCCAGATCCATCATTACCTTTCGAATRTTTTTGAGCGAAGTCTATTCGCCGATAAATAGTGACATTCAGCTTTATTCAACTGCTAATAAAGGGTGATCCATTTCGAAGTGCCTCACTTTTTAGAGAATAAACATAGAAAATTAAAATTTAATGGGGAATGTTTATTAACWCTCGAAAGAACATTTTGTGACATTTATTTTTTGAAGAGTATCTCTTTMAAATCTTGTCCGCGGCTATGTCTCAGATGGTCAATCCGTTGAGTTTAATTTTGGCTGACTCGTTTAAGCATTTCGACTCCAAGGACTGAATCGATGCGGAGTTGACCGCAGAGATTTTACACTTTACATATTCCCACAGAAAAAAGTTCAACGTTGTGATATCACACKATCTTGGTGGTCGMTCGASMGGCCCATGAAATTATCTGCTCACCGAAGTGTTCTCTCAATTTCTCTCTCCCATTGATTGATGCGGTGTGTGGTAAGTGTTGCCGTCTTGTTGAAACCAAATGTCGCTGAGATCACAAGCTTYGATTTCAAACATCAAATAGTCGGTTATCACGGCGCGATAACGGTCGCCATTGACGGTTACGTTCTCATCGGCATCATTTTTGAAGAAATATAGACCGGATTCCACCGGCTTACAAGCCACACCAAACCGTTATTTTTTCTGGAAGAAATGGCAGCTYTCGAATCTCTTCAGGTTGCTCTTCGTGCCAAACCCGAAAATTTGGCTTGTTTACATACACATTGAGTCAGAAATGAGTCTCATCATAGACTAAAACTTTACTCTCTCAATATCGAAAATCATGTAAATTTGAAGAAAAATTCGAAAATGTAACTGCAAGTGGATATCGAACGGAGTTAAAGCAAAATTTTCAACTTCTTTTAAAAACAATTGCATCTTTTTTCAGATCGCATATTTGAGTTTGGTTAAGAAAAAACAATCGCTGTTTGTGACTTTTAGTACGCGTTATTAAAGCTTAGCTTAATTCAGGATTTCCATCTACGCATTTAAAAATAAACATAAATCTTTAAATCCATTCTTAATGCAGATCAATGACGGCAGATATTTTCTAATGTAATATTAATATTGATTTTTTTGTTTAGTTTTTTAAATTGAATATTTGTAAACGATTGATCCATTGTGGATGCTTCTTTTAAAGATGAGTAAATATTATCTCAACAATGCATTTTTAAAATTTGTGTAGGATATCGCTGAAAATATTTTGGTCTGAAATGATTGTTTCCCCTAGGTATTGAAAGTCTTAGGAGAAAGTAAAAGCTTGACTCTTTTTCTGCACACAAGAAAACATTTCACTTAACACACGCAATAAACTGCATTTATATAATAATTATTCAATTTGTAAGCGCTTCTGAATGCTTGCCAACAGCTTCGTCTCCATTGGCTTCTTTCACCGGCGACACAAGTCAATAATCGCTCAAGACAATTTCCCCAGATAACTCTCCCCTGYATTTGCATGTGAAACAAGTGGGCACAATGCAAACAATGATACACTTATGTATACACGTATACATATTTACATTCTTCTGAGCCGTCTGTCCGTGTGCTAGCACAACGCATGCGGTCATATCAAAAGATAAACAGCGATAATAAAGTGATAGTAAAAGTGATGGGGCACTCAGAAATAGTTTGCTTTCAGAAAGTACTGTCACCGTCGTCGTTGTTGTTGGCATACGGCATTCCAGTGCCGGCGGAAGCAGATAAGCAGCTGTTGTGGCTGAAGATTGAAGTGATCTACGTATATGCATTGCGTCGATAACAAAGAGTCTGACTCATTTTGTTACTTGTGTGTGTGTGTTTGCGTTCAGGAGACCACTTGTGATTAATTATCAGCATCGCAGCAGTGAGCTAAGCGATAGCACCCGGAGATTATCAGCAAATCAAATAAGCTTGCTGTCTTGAACTCGCCGCGATGAGCATCTGAGTTGGTATGTGAGCATAAGACATACATAAACACCCATTCATACATATGTGTGAATTGTGCGAAATTCATTGAAATAATCATTCAAAAGAGTTGTGGAAGAACGCAAACTGGTTTGATGTACGAATGTTTCGAATTTAAGTCTAATTTGAAAAAAAAAAAAATGAGTTAGCAGAAACACATGCTTCCTTGAAAAGTCAATGAATCACTTCTTTATTTTTGCCCATTTTCTCTTATTATTCGCATACTGACTGTCGTCTCCTTCGTCTTTTTTCTTTTCAGTTGTTTTGGATTGAGACAAAAGAAGTCATTCTGTAGACAGTTGCCGAGTGTTACCAACATTTTGACAGTTTTCCACTCAGGCGCTTGCCATAAGTGAAAAATAATAGGCGTGCGGTCTGCCTAAGCAGCATGAATTCGACGTCATATCGCGGCCGCTCCAGCGACGAAGCACTCGATGAGCATTTGAAGCTGCAACAACGTCAACAAGCAATGCCGATGACAATGAGCACCACCCGTAGACAGCTGAGCGGSAACACAGTAGTGCCGCCAACACCACCACCGCCCGAACGCATGCGCATGCGCACCGACTCCAATGCGACGAGCATCTATGTGATCGGCGCAGACACCACCCACAGACACATCGCTGCAACGGGCGGCGGTGGTGTGGGCGGCGCGCAGACAGATAGCAATCCGGCAACAATGGAGCGCAGRCAACACAATCGTTTGTCTTGGGTGAATATGCGTAGAGGTGGCGAAGACGCGGTGCATCTGGAGGGCGGTGGCAGCGGCGCGGTGACTATCACGCCWTCGCCGCAAACAACGCGYAGCTACATATCCACAGTATCCACAATCACWGCTACGATTGGCAACGGCGGCGACACAATAAGAAGCCGCGCTGGCGGGGGCGCTGGCACAGGTGTACACATCGGTAACGGCACAATTAGTGGACGCACCACAGCCGCTTCGGGGCGCATGAGCACTAGTGGTGGCACTACCATCAGCGGTAGCAACAACACACTAAACGATATTATTTCCGATTATCACAGCCATGAGGCGGCCAGCAGCCGCGACTTCCACTACAACAACACAGTTGTGGCGTCGACGCCGCACATGAAGCAGCTCTCCAGCAGCGGCAGTTTTAACATGACCAACGGCAGCACGGTGAAGCTGCTGCCGGTGATGGACGACGAAACCAATCAACAGGTGAGTGAAAATGTATTTTCTATTTATGGAAGCATTAATTGAAAGAGAATCGAGCGAACGTTTGAAGGTTTCATCTTGGCTTTCGTTAGTTTGCCATGAGAAGAATATTAACTTCCAGTGGGATCATGAACAGCGTTTGTCCGGAAAATAATAGCACTGAGTCGATTTCAAAAATTTATCGAACCAATCGTTACAATTAYTTAAGAACTTTTAAAATAGACTCCTTCTGCGCCGATGCAGCGTTGGCAGCGCGATTTTCTAGCATTGAAGTMGTCACGGAAGGCATTCTCCGGAATAGCCTTGAGAACCGAGGTGCATGCTGTTTGGATTCCCTCTGTCGTCTCAAAATGCTTGACTTTCATCGCCCGGGTGCGCTACATCTGTGCCGTAGGGCGGCTGCAGAAGCGTTGAGATGGTAGCCTTGGTTATATAGCTGTTCACAAGAAAGTCGGTGTGAGCCGCGGCGTCAGCCAATCGACTGCGACGTCTTGCCGGACCCGATTGACTCTTAGTTTGAGCCTCTTAAGGACTTCCAAGTAAAACTTGACGTTGATCATATATCTCTGTCGCATCTTTACTGAGTTTGACACAGAATTTAATCGCGTTACTCTGCTCTAACGAACGTTGCATTTTCGGCTTGCATGACTCTCCAGGTGCTTGAAGAAAACTGACTAGCCTCTCGTTCGTTAGCTAGGCACGCCAGGTACCGAATCCAGTCGCTGGGAATCCGGACTTCCGGACAAAGCCTGTAAGTGTGTTGTATTTAGTCATAGCTCTGAGACTATTGCGTTTGKCATGAAAATTTAAAGCCTTTAAGCAATTTGTCGATKTGTCACTAATGAATTTTTACAAAACATTATATCATTCTTTTAACGGTCTCATCACCGTTCAACAAATTTGAAATAGCATTTTGACAAATTGAAATTTTCATTATAACACTTTTGCATAATCTTTGAGTAAAATGTGATGAAAACCACTACCTCAATAGAGATGATAATGGCGGAAATAATGGTCACCAAATGCCATAAACTTGAACAAAAGGAGGAAAAAAAAAAAAAACATTTCACAACTGAACACCTTAGCAGTTTCCTATGACAAAGGCGAATGGCGGGAGGCAAAACAAAAATTGTGCAATTAAAAATCGAATATCAAACCATAAAAATAAACAAAAGGTGTTGATGCCGAACGAGAGAAGGAAACGGCGCATAATGGCGATAACGATGCAAATGAATGCAAATAAAGAAAAAGTAAATCACACATTTCCGTACAATTTGAGATTTATTGTATAAATGTTTACTGCATTTGAAGCCATCACCGCAAACAACATTGCCTACTGTCGCMCCGAGCCCACCGCATCACCTAGCAAAGGCACAGCCGGAGCTACAGCGCTCGTACATCGCTGGTATCGCATTTCGGCCAAACGGTTCCAYAATTCCAACAATTTGCGTGCTCACATTGTKTRCTTTACAACCAAAAAATCTTWTATTGCRCACTTTAAATGTTTATTTGTGGTKCATATCAATACATAAGAGTGTGTGCGGGGGCTATCAATTGCGTGCGCTTGCGGCTTTCGACGTATCTCATGYGGCGTTGCGCTCGTGCGCGCATTTATWCACGCAACCGCCCTACACACACCCATACATACCTATACGCAATGGCTCGGTGAGAAAWTATCGGCTTTGAAAGCTCTTATGTAAGCGCAAGCCAMTGGTGGGGGCACAAACGCTGCACTTGACTGCTATCGACYACCCGCCGCCAGGTTCATTTTTCAAATAATGAAGCAATTATTGCTTCGTATAAACGAGCGAGCTTGGCTACTAGCTTCTTTGGTGGCCTAAGTCAGTTACGCCACCGCATCAAGCTCTTAGAAGCAATCAAGTAATAACAGTTCAGCAGCTTGGCCATCTTCTCGGGATGGAAATTCACACAACCATACTCTCAATTAGCTCCCAATTTTTCTTTGGCTGCATCTCATTTGCCGTCTCCTACGCAATGGGCCCATCGCATATCAGCATCTGCTCACTAATGCACCATTAAGTTATGTGTGTGTGTTGACAACCAATTGATTCGGTATTCTTCGCCGTTGTTAATTGAAATGTTTTGGTTTTGAGTGCCACAGCTAATTAGTCAATTGCAATTGCGTTGTACACATGCGTACATACATACATAGAAATTAATACTCTGCAGCAGTCACGAATGCACAAACCGAAGCTATCCACTTGTTGAGCACGTCCGCATTTACGCCAGTGAAATGTGTATGAGTGTATGAGTGTATTTGTGTATGTAAGTATATTTGTATGTAATTTTCTCACGCTTTATCAGGCCTCAAGTCACTTCGACTGCATTATTTTTGTATGCGCACTATGCACTTGCATACATGACTTTGTGCGTTTGAATGTGTGTGCTCTTCGCTTACCGTTTGTCAGCGTTGAATTAATCGCAATCGTTTTTAATTAACTCCAATTGAGTGTTAAATTTGCATCTGGACGCTTGACGGAGGAACTTAATTATAACGGGTTTATTTTTGGCATTCGTCTTCATTATTACGTAACTGTTTTTATTGTTTACACGAGCTTTTTCAAATATTCACTCTAAATATATGTGCCAGTTTTTGGAAGCACTTGCAAACATATAATTGGTGGATTTGCAAGAAGTGTCAACGTGTGGACAAATGATAATTTTCCAAAATTATTCAAGGTCTTAAGAATATTTTTGACCAGCGAGTTCCGCTGATATTTTTGCACTTCAGTGTTTTGACATATGATACTTTTGTAAACAACATAAGAAAAAAATAGGAAAGTTTGAATCATCACTTCATTAAAGTTTTGTAAGTGCGCGCGTTGCCAACCTAAAGTTAGAAATACCGACCATAAATTATACAACGTTTTGTTCARTTTAAATACTTTTACTTTGCATATGTATTCATAATCAATGCACTATTTTAAAGAGCAAGCAAAAATATGAAGAAACGTACACTATTGAATTCTTTTAAACCCATTTAATGGTACAGCGTTTGATTTTGCGCTGCCGCAGCCTAAAAGTTGGCCATAAATTACTGTGTATTATTTTACTTAATGAAAAATTAATTTTCAACAAAAGCGTTGCATACTTTCAGGCGCAGTTGTTGGCACAGTTATAGGCACCCTTTAGCAGCCTTGTGGTCAAGAAATCTTTCGATTATTTCAAAGTTTAAATGCCTTATTATTATTTACTGTTTATGCTTATAAAAATTGTTCGTAGTATTTTGCTGTGTGAAAAGCATAGCTGTTCTTAAAACGTCTTATATCTCAATTTGTACCTAATATAGTTCACGAGTTCGTTGCTTAAGTCTTTTGTGTTAAGTGGCGTGTTGTAAATGGCAGCAGAAGTGGAAGGCGGGGATGAAAAGTGCAAATAAACTACAAATGAAAARTAATAACAGCAGACACATGCTTATAAGCCAATTAAGGTATCAAAAGTAAAAAATAATGATTTAATGGTATTCAAGAATTTCATAACAACTTTTGAATAAGAAAAATTAAAGAAGCGTAACAATTGATAAAAATATGTTAAACTATTTCTTTTGAATCCACTAATAAGTGTTAATGTAATATCATACATGAAATCACAAAAAAACTAATTCAATAGAAACATTCCAAACAATATAAAACGAAATTGGTGCACACAAAATCGTGCGTTTTTTCACAACGTAATGCGGCAAATTACCAAATTTTAACAGTCAAAAGAAATCAAAATGAGCCGACCGATCTATTTACATACGATTTTGCTAATTAACCCATATAAATTTGTAAATAATTATTTAAATATATTTGCGAACTGTTAAGATAAACAAAAGACTTCGCTGTGCGAAGCAAAGTAAAAGTAATCCAACACATTGAATGTGGTCGACGCTTGCTTCCCGCTCCGTCGCCGAGTTTCAAGGCAACACTTGAGCGCACAGCAGCTATTCGTTTGTTGCTGTTGCTGTTGTTGCTTATTACATTAGGCAAGTGGCGCTGGGTCCGGCGTTGACGTAGCGAAATTGCAAAAGCCAGTTAAACAAACAACAAATGGTTAATGAAATGTTCGYCTATACATGAGTGTGTGTGTGGGTTTCGCTTTTCAACGGCAGCTCCTCAAACTGYGCATTTTACTCAAATCGCTTTTAATAAACCCAATCGATTTAAGTATCGCCCTCTTACTGAGCTGGTAATTATCAATCCTCATGAATACACATACACGCGCACATATAGAAGAAGCGATAAATGTTCAGTGAGAAATTAAAAGCAAGCTGTTTTTGCAGTTACAGACWCATGCACACAACTACAATGGTGTAATTTTGATGAGTAATTTGCGGATGCTTCGCTGTTGTTCGCTTGAATTAGCCAAATCATTGCCGAGYTCATCTGCCTTTTCACWATTGTTACTTCTTGGCTTACTCCCCCCACTCTTTCAAATCGAATTCAAKTCAATTTTCGTTTTTTGCCGAGATTACGATTAAGTTGGATGTTACTTCATCGGCTTTATGCTTTTCGTAATCGCCGAGATTGCGGGTGTTTGCCTTGGTTACAACGATAAGTGGTGAGTGTTTGATAAAATGCATGAATGTTGTATGTAGAGGGAGTAATAAAAAGTTTTCACCTGCCGTTATGACTGCAACTAAAATTTAAATTAGACAATGAGTGTGCGTGTGTGTAAACACGATGTTAAGTTTGTTGTTCTTCGAGAGAATAATTGACATTTGCTGCCAATTTAAACAAACTAAAGTTTGATTTTAGTTGTGATGAAAATTGTTGCTTAAAGGYTACATGGGTTTTCTGGGGTAAAAAGCAGCATTTTTAAAATTTTTTTTCAAAAATATTTTTCTCTTATAAAAAATGAACTATTTTTTTTTTAGAAAGACAACATTTCCGTTGACCCCTCGGAAAGCAGATGCGCCCACCTTAGTACGATAACTCTTTACAGGATCATCTTAAATGAAAAAAACGCGTTTTGTTTAAGGCCTTAACTTATAACTGGGCGAAGGAAAAGAACATAAAATTGGATTTTTGGCAGACATTTTTACAAAAAAATTAAAATTTCAGTGAACATTTCCCCAACAGTATTCTAGAGGTGTTCTACAATTTAATAAAAAAATAAAAAAATTATGGTTTGAAAAAGGAAATATTATTCATTAACACTGTCGTCTTAACTAAAACAGTAATGTTACGAAAATAAAAAATAATTCGACAACAAAAATTTGGAATTTTTTTTGCTTAATTATGTTTAATAATAACCACCTTCAAGGAAATTCTSTAYTAAAGTTGCCACCGTTTTCTAAAAAAATAATATCTTTTCGCCAATACTTAACAGAACACATTTTATTAGGTAATGTTTGGMAACGTGAAAGTGGGCTTTTMAGCCATTTAARAATATTTTTATACTCTCGCAACAAAGTTGCTAAAGAGAGTATTATAGTTTTGTTCACATAACGGTTGATTGTAAGTCCTAAAACTAAAAGAGTCATATATAGGGTTATATATACCAAAGTGATCAGGGTGACTAGTAGAGTTGAAATCCGGATGTCTGTCTGTCCGTCCGTCCGTGCAAGCTGTAACTTAAGTAAAAATTGAGATATCATGATGAAACCTGRTACACGTATTTCTTGGCTCCATAAARCGGTTAAGTTCGAATATGGGCAAAATCGGCCCACTGCCACGCCSACAAAATGGCGGAAACCGAAAACTTCTAAAGTGTCATAACTAAGCCATAAATAAAGATATTAAATGAAATTTTTCACAAAGGATCGCATTACGGAGGAGCATATTTGGACGTAATTTTTTTTGGAAAAGTGGGCGTGGCCCCGCCCCCTACAAACTTTTTTGTACATATCTCAAAATCTACTATAGCTATGTCAACCAAACTGTATAGAGTCGTTTCTTTTAGGCATTTCTATATACAGTTTAAAAATGGAAGAAATCGGATAGTAACCACGCTCACCTCCCATACAAAGGTTATGTTGAAAATCACTAAAAGTGCATTAACCGACTAACAAAAAACGTCAGAAACACTAAATTTTACTGAAGAAATGTCAGAATCAAGCTGCATCCAGGCTTTTTCTAAAAATTTAAAATGGGTGTGGCGTCGCCCACTTATTGACCAAAAATCATATCTCAGGAAGTACTCGACCGATTTCAATGAAATTCGGTATATAATATTTTCTTAACACCGTGATGACATGTACCAAATATGGCTGAAATCGGTTCACAACCACGCCTGAAATCTCGATTATCACTTCATCATGCGAGAGTATAAAATGTTCGGTGACACCCGAACTTAGCTGTTCCTTACTTGTTTTTGTTTACTTTTTATTTGGGTTTCACTTTAAAACATAAACAAAATTAGAGCTAAAATCGCAGTAAATTTCGCGGTCAGTGCGCATGCGTACGAATTCTGATTGTTATTTGCCGCCGTGAGCATACGTTTGCGATTTCGGGCTGAGTGCAGACAACAGATAGACCATAATTTGTAGTCTTTATGAATTATTCTGGTTATTAAAAACTGTGTGAACCAACGTGCTTATGTGTAAGTGTCTGGAGAATTATGCGCCGATTTCTTGGCTGGTTTAAAATTTCTCATTAATTCGACTTATTTCTCTAAAATTCGTTAAAGTTTCTAGTAAATAGTGATATGAAAACAAATGTACTTACATACATATGTGATATATGGCTCGATAGACCGAAAAAGCCTGGCTTTAATGGCAACTTTCGCAATTAAAAAAAAAAAAAAAAAAAAAACAATTAAATGGCATGCGCTTTTGTTTACCTTTCCAGGGTTAATCAATTTAATGGCCCGAGTAGCAATTATTGTCAACAAAAACTGGCCCAACACGCATTCAATAGCTGCACAGCTTTGTTCAGCAGGTTTTTGTGAGGTTTTCTTTTTGGTAACAAAGACGCTAGCAAAGTTATAAAAAAAATCGCTATGATAGCCTGAAAACAGTTAATTTTCCAAGCTGACAGTAAAAAGCCGCACTTCTATGGAATTCTCTGGCTTTCAAACAGCAATTAAAAAATGTTGTGTAGAGTTGTGGCACGCACGCATATTTCTCTTTGTGCTCGAGACTCGCACTCATTGAAACTTAGATTTTTGTAATTGTTGACTTGAAAATGGTTGTTGGCGACTTGAAATGGCATAAAGTGGTCCACCCAGCCAATTCGCCACTGTTTCTAAACACTCGTGCCTTACTGCCTTAAATGAATGTGCTTTGAGGTATTTCTGTTGTTGTTGTGGCATATGAATCGCTTGGCATGGACAAAAACGAGCGCCCCAGCATTGAAATTTGACTCTGTCGCACATTGTCAGCGCTCCCTTTAATGGCGACTTTTTGCCATACCTGGCTGTCCGTCTGTCCGCATCGTGCAACTTTTGAAGCTTTTCTTGCTTTTTGCCGAGCTCTGTAATTGTGCTTGTGCTGATTGTGCTGAAAATATCAAAAAATATATACATATTTCTGTGTATACGTAATCATATGTGTAGAAATATGTTTTTGTTGTAAATCAAAATGAATTGTTGTAGGAAATTAGAGTGTGAAACTGCCGGACACCTTATACTGCTGTATTCAGGTTGCTGCACAAACAAACTAATTTAGGTGTGTGYGTGTGTGTTAGTCCAACKAAGTTGTTGCATTCGCTTGTGGCACCTTAACGACTTAACAATAATTTCATCATACCCGCCCCTCGTCAATTTTCACTTAGTCTCTGTTCATCATACGTCCTGGTTGCTCAATCGCTCCTCAGCAGCTAGTAATGGTTTGTGAGGTCTAATTTCACATTGTGCTGGCAATTCCGCAATATGCCACATTCATCTCCGTTACAAATTCGCTATTTAATACAGTAGCGTATTTTGAGACACTCACCTCCACACTTGTATACGTATATACATATCTAAAATGAGCGCTGTAGGAATAGGAAACCCTACGCGTGATGTCTAAATAGCTGACAAAATACATAACCAATATAAAAATTAATGGAATTTCGAGCTGAGAAGCTAATTTTAGTTTATTCAAAACGGGCTGAGAACCCGTCCACGACAAACCACGTCCAGTACGGCCATCAACATCAAGTAATGATGATCAACMAGACTATCAATCGGCAATGGTCAGCCGAAGCCGCTAACACACGTCGAAGCAGGTCAAAAACCGAGGTTATGCTGACAGTTYGCTTCGATTATCGTGGTGTGATGCACTTCGAATTTCTTCCGACTGGCCAAATTGTGAACAAGGAATACTGTTTGAGTGTTGTGCGTCGGTTGCGCGTCGCATATTGCCTTGATTCTTCTTGAGTTTTTGAAAGAAGTCCTTATTTTTTGTTAAGCTTTGTCATCAATAATTGTATTTCCGCTTCTATGCCATTCCGAGATCCTTTCGACTTAGAGCAGACTTCAAGAGTTCTACTGAACTACTTGCCTTAACAAATCTCAACTAGCCGTAATCGTAACAGTTCTTACTGGATATTGTCCATTTGGTTGTTGTTGTTGTTCAAGCCAAGAGAGGTGGAAGCTTCTAGCCACTTCCTCATCCTTAATTCAACATTTGCAAGCCTGATGTTGAAACATTTCCGCAGYCTTATCTTCGGTGAACCAGAAGACCAAGCCGAAGCTGAAAAATATACTCAAAACTATTTGTCGATTTGTGGGGGTCTTACGGCGAATTATAGAAAAGTTTTAGGAATATACTTATTGGCATACCTTGCTTCGATTACTGGTGAAGATGTAAATAACTTATTTCCTGCAGGGTATGTTGATAACCACTTAAACACACATACCAGCACGTTGCAATATGATTTGTCATTATAACTGCATATGCGCCGGTGCGTATCCGTGCATGAATTCACTGCAGCCCATTCATATATCACCCTGTTTGCTGTCATTTGGAAATATGTGTGAATTTATGCTCTGCTCTCGATTTGGCTGTACTTGTCATTGCGTCAGTGATACCTTGATGGTTTGCATATGGAACTATTTCTATAAGGTGGTTTGGCACGTATTTTATTACATAGTAACGGTCATCCGTCACCGATTTTTCAAAGATAGTGAAAGGGAGAACACACATGCACTCTGAGGCAATGATAATATGAAGCAGGGTGGTCAATTCAATTAAATCATGTTTAGCCTTATTTTGTTATATAAATTCTTAATAAATTGTTTCTGTAAAATATTAGAATGCGATGGTCTTTTCTTTCTAAAAATTTTTAATTAAATAGTTATGGTCCGATTGGTTACTTGTGAAAGACTTTATGCTTACCAAAAGTACATTCATTTGAACCAAGACAAACATTCACTAGAGATTTTTGTGTTCTACTGAAGCCGCTTTAAATAGGTTAATAGCTGTCTCTTCTACTTATCTAAAGTTATTAATAAGTAAAAGTATGCTGCTGTAGGGTAGTTAGTATGCTTAGCCAATTACGCAACACACCTAAAAATAAGGAAGGCCTACCTTTTTTGCTTGAGACTTTTAACACATTTCGAATTCTGCTCATTTCAAAAAAAAAAAAATTCRTGTGCGTGGAATTATTAATGTGCTGACGTCTTACCCATAAAATTAGCTGGTCATTATATTCAAAAATTTCAATTATAAAATTAAAAGTTGTTTTCCTAAAATTCAAGAAATTCCAAAAGAAAGTTTATAGTACTCTTTTTTCCATGTCTAACTGTAAAGATTGCTTGTATTTGGTAAATAAGCAAATGTGCTGCACGAAAATAATGTTAGGTAGTCGAAAAAGTCTTTTCATATTTTGTCAATAGATGTCGTAGCAGTCGCATATCTCCAGAGTTACCAATCTCATTGTGTCATATACTGTTGGAAAAGTGAGATTTTATGTTTCGTTTAGTCAAAAATTAAATTCGCGGAAGTTGAAAACAAGTTACAGCTGTTCTAAAATGATGATAATAATGAAGAAATTCGCTATATTTTGAATTTTTTTTATGAAAAAGGGAAGAATGCAAAGCAAGTCATCAATGAAATTTGTGAAGTTTACAGAGACGATGCTGGATCAGTTCTTCTAGCACAACGTTCGTTCACTTCTGTTCTGGAAATTTCGATGTGAAAGATGCGTCCCTGGTCGACCTATCGTTG